ACATGCCGACCCGGGAGGAGAAACATTTTTTCCCCTTAATTTAGTTAGATAAATTTTGAATGACCCATTTCAGCTTGCTAGCAGATGTCTACAAGCTGTTTAACATCCTTTAAATTAAGAACCATCCACACTAATTATTTCATGTATGTTTTATGCACAGTCATTGTACTAACTTTAATTGAATGATGTTTAAAAATCAGTTCTTTAAAGGTAATTGTTACCACATACAGTCCCAGTCACGAGTCACAAAGCTCTCAGAAAATTGCACTGGCAAGCTAAATAAACATTTAGAAGTTTTGCTTCTTCCATTTGTCCCCGCATACTTGAGGAGGAAGCAGTAGGTCACTAGGTAAATGATTATCACACCTTGTCAGGACTTTGTCCTAAGAGACAAGCAAAGAAATTTCTCAAGCCTATATGATCTGAAATGCAGGAAAGGTGGTAAAAGAATAAAGAAAATGGAATCATTCATAGGATTCTTGTTGGCTTTATGTGTTACACAGCAAATCAACAGTGGCAAATTAAGCCCTTCTGCTGCTACTCCCTATGCAAAATAAGGGGTTCCTGAACACAGTATTTCAAGCAAGATAACAAATTAAGAACCATGTAATTTGTCAGTTGATATCACTAATGCAAAGCTTATTTGTTTTTTTCTCATATTGCAGGTTTGATTTCAATAGAAAACATACATGTTTACACTTACACAAACGTGGATGCATGTTTGCAGTTAGTGAGCTTTTTATTTCATTTACTATGTTGTTCTCTTTAAGAGCAAAATTGAGCGAGCACACTGTCATTCCACTTCGAGTTTGAAGTGGAAAATAATTGCATAGCTTCAGTTGTCGTAGCTAGCCATAAATACTAATTTCGATCATTGTACAAATGGTGGCTTAGGGAATTCTTGTCATAGAGTAGTGAACATTTTTGAAAGGGAGGTTTCAGTGTGTCAGTCTCAACAAGTTAGGGAAGTATCTTCATTTAGTTCCCTCTTCTACTTATTAATAAATACTGTTCTTTATCATTAGTACCTACCTCTGAGTTTCTAAAGTCAAGCCTTCCATTTTCTAAATAGAACATTCCTTGAAAGCATTCAGGTGAGGAGAATGTGTATGTAGTTGGAAATATCTCAGTGCTACTGCAACATTTTTAAACCATTACATTGATTTCTTTTCTCATCAGTCAATAGACATACTAATGTATGTCAAGTTTTGAAAAGTATAAACATTTTTCTGTGTGAACTCTTCAATTTGAGGCTTTTTCTCTGGTTAAGTAGCCTCCATCACTAAACCATAGATTTTTATGATAGTGCAACTTAATTTGAACTCAGTTATGCCATTTTAAATATCTTGGTTTAAAGAGTAACAAATCAAAATAGCCTTCTGTCAAGGGATTTCTTCACAAGTCTGTTCACACAAATGATGATAAATAGCCACTGATGCTATAGAAAATGATGTGTCCAAGACTTCAAGTTTTAAGATAGACTTCACTGAATATAAGAAAGCAAATGATAATCTGAGGCAAGGCAGTGAAAAACTGTCAATTAAGAGCACATTTAGTGCAATTTTAAGGAAAAATTTGAAAAATAATTAAAGTTTCAGGTCCCATTTCTCTGCATGGCAAGCAATCTCAGTGAAAGGATTATCAAGTTTACAGAATTTAAAAACACTCCAAAGGGGTGCTAAATAGAGATTTCACTAAAGTGTAGTTTTTGAGTTTGTCTCAGATAACACTACAAATGAAGCTCAGTGGAAACTAAATATTATAAAGTATTGTACATTTACTTGTTTTGTTACAAAATGTGAAAATGAAGGAAAGTAGAAATTTAGTAGTTTATGAGCCATTCACAGACTTGAAATACTGTCAAGTATTTTTTCATGTATGTCACTTTTGTAGATTGTAGCAAAAGCTGTCCTTTAAGAAGCAACTGAAGTCTCAGACTTCCCTGCATTATAGAGTGAGATTCTTTTTCACAGAGTAGAACTTTTTAAGACCATTTCAGTGATAGGTTTCTTTTTTATTTATTTGTAAAATCTGTTAAATAAGTCACCTTAGTACTGTTTGGATTTTATATTAGATCTCTTCTTTTTTACATGTGTTAATTTCTATATGCTTAAGCATTGGCTTTTTGGAACTTTTAGTATTTGTCTTGATTTTGTTTTCCTGAACATGCTGTTTTAGTAACTCTGAAATACCAAATCCTGAAAGTTTGGAAACAGTGATTATGAAGACAGTGCAAAACATTGATCCACTGCCAGACAGAAGTAAACAACAAGAAAAAAAGTCCTGCAACACTGTTCATTTAGAAGGCCAAAATGAGCAATATAATAAAAAGGTATATAATAAAACTTGCTTTGTTCTCCTATGTGGAGTGCTGAAGTTTAGTATTAGCACTGCTGTTCCCCTCATAATTAATTTGACTCTTGTTGTGAAGGGAAAATAAAATCTACTTCCAGATATTCAGTGGGTAGATTCATTGTCATTTAAAATATTTTCTGAACGATTAGTCTGCAAAGGTATTTGGAGAGGTTGTCAGGATTGCAAAAGCTGATTAAAAAATGTTAAGCTGCTGTAATCTAATGCTGCTGTCTCACAGGCCAGACAAAGAATGCTACAGACATCCCATTAAACTTTCTCTCAATCAGATATGCTGTACAGAACAGGCTGACCTAACCCATAACAGGGAAAGAGCAACATCCGTCCCTCCCATCTAGCCAAATTGTGTACTGACTCACCAAGTATAAACATCTCTCACTTTGCTTGGTGTGCACTGGACAAGTTGACTCCGTCTTACAAAGATGCTTTTGACTCTATCTATATCTAGGAGATTCTATCTTGAGAAAAGTATACTTTTGCCTTCTTCTTAGTCTGTTTAAATTCAGTGTCTGGGATTTGTACTGATTGTCTCATTGTTAACATCTATATGCTGTTTTCTCACAGAAGAGAGCCAGCTGGTTGTTTCCCAGGTCTTTGGAGGCTCCATACAATCAGTAACAGATGACTCATCCTTGGACATTTGAACAGTGTCTAATACTTTTTCCCTCCTGTGTTTACCCAAATAAATCAGTCCATGGAATTTAAAACACAAGCAGATATTTTTATTTCTTAGTTCAAGAAACAGAATACTGAAACACTGGAAAACTTGCTGCTTTAAGTTAATTAGTTTGAAATTCAGTTTTATATGGTCATATAATAAAAGGTTTGAAAAAAAGGTATATTTTCTTAGTCTCCAAAATTTTAAAGTGAATACGAACTCTCTGGTCTTCCTACATTATCTTGATTGTGTTATCCCATCAAAACCTTTTGGATAAGAAAAAATGAAAAAAGGAAAATTCTTATGCAATCATCTGTTGGTATAGAATACATAGTATGAGTAGGTGCACATGATATAATGTGAAAATCTGGCAGAGTGTGTTACTCTTGTTATCTCCTGCTGCTCCTGAGTGAGGACATACAAGGCAGGCAATCCTGGAGGCTCTGTTCTCTCATGCTCAGCCACTACCTCTTCTGTAGGCCTGTATTGCATTTATTCTCTGTTTCTACTGGAAGAGACAAACACAGGTATATCCTGATGCTCATATTTAACAGACTGGTGGAATTGGAACGTACACAGAAAGCGTCTTGAGAGCCCTAAACAGTTAAATATGCTTCAGCAGAACTCCTCCCATTTTGTAGGAAAAGCATTTGAAAAAATGGTTTGTGAGGACAGAAGATAGTATTGCACAAAGGTTTAGTGTAGACAGTTGGGAACCCTAACTGATTTTAACAAAATTCTTAAATCGATCGAGGGGATTAAAGGACCCTCCAGCTGTTTCATGGTATTTTCATAAAAAGAAAGGCTAGAGAAATCACCGAAGTCCTGACCTATGCCAAGGGTTAAGGATGACATTTATGACAAAATTACTTTCGTCAATTTTGCCCCACATGGTATAAATATATAATACCCTGTGCAGTGTCATCAAAGTTATTTGCACTCTCTTACAACTCATACGTTTATTAAAACTGTGGCCTAGAGTGGAGATCTCCATCTTTTTGCTGCAGGCATGCATCATTTGCTCATCATCTGCTCAGACCTCAATTCTTGGTCCTTGAAACTGTGTGGTGATTGTAGAAATCTAGAATTCATGGCGAAGCTGTCTTGCAATGTTAGTAATCTGTTCAGTGCAGTTAGTAGTGAACATGTTGCTCTTTACTCTTTTAAATTTTATTTACAGCTATTTTATTTATTAATATGGCCAGAAATATATTGCATGGTACCACATAAATAGTGCAATTTGAAGACTTTAAAAGTTGGATAAATGTTGAAGGATTCCAGAACAAAGGTGTTTAAAAATACACTCAGTGAAGTAGTACTTTGATTTTAGAGTAAGACATTTTCATTTTACATATTGCAAGCAACATTCTTCTTCACTCTCTTCTTCTGTCATTGGACATTGGATAGGTTCTGGAAACAGCTGATTTTTCAAATCACATATTTGAAAGGCATACAGCAGACTTCTGTTAACCCTGGTCAAACACAGTGATTTTATTTTGCATGTTCACATAGATTCATGTGTCTTCTAGTTACAGCTCTGTATGTAATCTGGTCTTCCTCCTTTTGAACCAATGAGACCACTAGTCCTTTTAGTTTCACTTAAATATCTTGAAAAATAAGATACTGTAGACTTTCAATTACTACAAATCATCTTTTTTACCTACTAGTAAATTCAGATCTTATCTAAAAAAGTAATGTGTATATTAACAGATATTTCATATTTCTCTGGGATTCTTCAGAAAAGGCTATGACTTACCTATAACAGTTAATTTATTCTTTTACATTTGATGGGAAAATACTCTTCACTGGCTGATATTGTAAGACTCATTTTCAAACTGGAATTCATTGGAATTTGTATATTATTTGAAGTAATTTTTGTTGTTTCAATTCAAACTGGAAAAATTTGCCATATTTTGTTCAGTGTGCCACAATGAAGAGTTGCTCACTTTGTGCTTTTCTTTTTATTTAGTCTCATTCACAGAGTAAAGACCTAGAAAAGTTACATTCTGAGAGGAGGAAGATCTGCCATCTTATAACGTCACATCCATCAATTCTAAACAAAGGTAGGAATATTATTTATTTTTGGCAACTTTGTCAGTAAGACTGACGAAGCATTCCTGCCTACCAAAACCTCTGCTATATTACATAAACCCATTGAATGCTGTTACAAAATTTGCTTGTTTAAAGTTGTATGTGTACTTTCAAATATTTAGCTCATTATTTTAAAGTGAAATTGTCAAATAATAAGTGACTGTCAAACAGCATCTTTTCACACAGTTAATATATACTCCTACTAAGTGTCACCAATTGAATCTACTAATTGATACGAGGCTTTTCATTACCTTTTGTTCATGTTTGCCCCTTGTAGCCAACACAGCTAATGAAACAAATTAATGGCTTTTGGCTTAGACCTTAAAAAAACCCAGTCTGTTAATAAGACTGAAGACACTGAAGGCCTTATTTTCAGTAATACCAATCAGAGGTACATTTAACTTCCAAGTCCTTTTTGAGTTTGCAGTGTTGGCACTTCAGAAAAAGGACAACTTTGAGCACTTATAGGTTGATTGGTTTTATATGTTTTAAATGTTGTATATTTTTATAGGTTAACTGTTAATTTATCAATTTCCTTACTGAAAAATATTTTGAAGACTTCAAGGGTGTTTTAAAGGGCCAAAACAAGATCAGAAATCATGTTACTTATGATGATCTGTCAGTTTAGTAACATGACATTTTATGTTTAGTGAACAGAGCAAAAAGGAGAAATATCACCCTCCAGAAACCAGGCTGCACTGTTACTCTACTGCAGGAAAGAATTAAGTCATTGCAGAAGCAGATAGCTGTTTTACAGAATGAAAAAAAGACTGCAGTGGCTTCTGTGAAGGAGATGAAAGAAACCAATGAAAAACTAACAAATCAGCTACATTTGGCTAATCAGAGAGTTCAAACTAGTAAACTGACCATAGAGGTAAAGTACTTTTCATTATGTTGTCTCATAATGTTTGGCTTAATTGTATTGCAGTTCTCTGAAACTGTGATAACATTGATTTTTGTAGTTTAATTTATTATAGTCAGAATTATGAAAAAATATGAATTGGAATACTTTTTAGGGGATTCTGAGTCAGTTATTGTGTACTGAGGCCTGAGTAGTCTTCGTGGTGGCATTTTATGTGCATTCAAATGAGTGAGGGTAGTTTCACTTTAAACCTGTGTCCTGCAAACTTTGCTTTGCTGAGAATCTGGTCAGTCTACAGAAACTAACACCCATTCCTCTGTGAAGAACAGGCATTGTCTCCTTATGCCCCAAGAAAACTGGAGTTTTCTTTTAAAAGGGGCTCAGGCCAATTCCATATCTACTTAATCCCATCTTTCTCTGTTAAGGTGGAAAGCCAGAGAGCAAAATTTATGAACATAGAGGCTAATAAACTACTTGGTTAACAGCCCAAAGATGCCAGCTTTCTTCTCTGCTTCAGTCTTTGTTCCTACTTAATTCTTTTCCACGCTATTACTCCTTTCTGGTTTTCCCCATTCTCATTTATATATGTGTTTTGTGTTAATCTATATGCAGCTCCTCAGCTGGAATTCTTTTCTGTTCGTACTGTAGTGATTGGCCTGCCCTTTACAGAGCTGAATCAACAAACACTTATGCAGTAATTGTCTCCTGTTGGTCACACACACATCCTGCTTCCAGAATTATGGTGCTACAACAGATGGACTTGCTGGAAGGAGGCAGACATTAAAAAAGAAATCAAATCCCCTCCCCCTCAAACTTCTTTGCATTTCTGTCTTTGCACAGAAGGCAGAAGCAGTATCAGGAGCAGCACTTTTCACTTTCTTAGTGCTAGGGAACTGCTAATTTCTAGAGGAGGGAAAACCTAATTTCTTCTACTCATTTTGCATAACTATATATATGTAATGAATTGAACTGAAAAGACTTTCCAAGATCATTGGAACCAATGAAGATCTGCCTATCTTACAAACAGTATTATAATACAAAGTTTCACGGGCAGCATAAACTTCACAGGGAATTACATGTATAGTTTAGATAAAACATTATGATTTCTCAGACATCTTGAGGTTTTGTCTTCCTAGAAGACTACACCTTAGATGTCCATAAAAACAATATGAAAATTGAAATAGAAAATCAGGAAACTGTTTAAAAAAAAAAAAAAAAACAGAAAAGGGGGGGACAAAATTTGTAAATATAAGAGCTGCTGTAATGTAAAAGACTGACTAAAATCAAAATAGCATGTCTTTAAAACCAAACCAGTTTTCTTTCACTCAGTTTTTCTGGAAGGTTTAAAAAAAGAAAAAATGGTCACTAGTCTATTCAAAGGATGGTGCATTCTAAGCAAAAATAAATAAATGGTGTTGCAGGTACTCAAGGAAAAAAATCTTTATTAGGCACGCACATTTTTTTCCTTCTCAGCAAACAGTCCAAATTCCCTTTCTTTCAACTAATTACTCTTCAGGTGCCATAGTAGTGCTACCAAGTGGGAAATTTAAAGCAGAGACTTGGGCTACTTGCCAAGTGAAAATTGAGGAGGTAAAGAACCTATGCAGTCACTGCAGGGTACACTCATGTTTTAGAGGGAGAACCCTGATTCAGACAGATCAAATGGTAGTAGAGCACATATTTATGTGTGGGATTTGTGTGTTTTTTTGTAAGAAATGCTATCTGGAAGTGAAGTTTTAAGACACTGTAATGGAAATAATGGTTTTTTTAAAAAATAAATTTCACTATCAAGAACATTTTTATTGTTTCTTCTTAATACTTCTGTTACTTTAGATTTTAGAATTTTCTTGCACAGGTAGAAAGTAAATAAACAAGCACACAAACCATGAAAAAATAAAAGGTTGAAACAATCTCTGGATTTAGGGAGATTCTTAAACATTTCAAGAGTGCCAAAATTACAAATATCCAAAAATAAGCTTCCATAAACCACCATAACTGTATTGTTCTGAGTAAACTTAGTGAAGTTGTAATCCTAGGCTAATGGAAGTATAGCAGTCTAGCAACTGTAAACATTAACAGCATGGCTTGGATGAGATGCCACATTGCCTAATTTATCTAAGAAAATAAATCCTTTAGCAGATAAGGGCAGATGTTTGTGCAGTCAGTCCTTCATTATAATCCCTGAGGAATCTAGGAGATCGACTCTGGATTTAAGATTAAAATGTTCCAGATGTTCACTTTGAGACAGATTTTACAGTTCATGCAACCTAAGGACTGTTTGGCATCTGTTGATTTTCAGAATATATGTACATGTGTGGTTTTGTGTATTTTTCTTGAAGATCCACACAGATATGTATGTTGTGAATAGCTGTCTGCTCTAAAGAGTACAGAATTCTAGACTCAAGTTCTGGTTTGCAGTTACTGCTTTGCAGTAATGTAGATTTCTGTCTTTGTTTCATTTCTGCAAAAGCAATTCCTTGCATATTTCTGAAAAAAATGACTGAAGTGACTGCATATGTGAGAAGCAAAGTTTACATTCTCCAAGGATTCACATTAACACTGAGTCAAGACCATCTGTACAGAAGTTCAGTAGTTACATTTTGCTCTTGGGGTATAGCAGTGGCAGCTAGAGCAAATACTTAATGCAGATGCAATGCTATGTAGTATTTTCTTGGTTTCCAAGAAAAGCATTTGATAGAAATTGTTGGAAAAATCCAGGGATTTTTTTTCTGAAGTTTATTCCCTGCCCCCCATTTCTATCATTAAGTGAGTGTTTATATTGCGTACCACAGAGTAATTGCAGTTAGTTTTATGCAGTGTCATTCTTGTTGCAAAATAGCAGGCAAAGTATATTGAATAAGAAATTAAAATCATAAGCAGGTTAAGTTACTAGCGCTTATCTTATTCACATCAAAACTATTCACAGGTGCACTGCTTAAAGGTACCACAGGATCATTTGCATCCGTTCACCAGTGTTTCTCAGGTGATGTCACAGGAAGAGTTGCATTTGTTAATGGAATGCCATGGGCATTTACAAAGTGCTTGTGGGTGCTTCAGCAGGAAACCTGAGTCTCAGAATACAAACAAGTCAACCAGTCAAATGCTGACAGATCCTTTGGAGAGGAGAGTGTGAAGGTTTAAGTAAAGGGTTTTTTTCAGATGCTTTCCTGCAGATATATCACTACATTTTTTCTGAATTGGGAAGGAGCTTTTTGCTTTTTAGAACACTGCATATTTTAGCTGTAACTCAGACTATGCTTTTTTTCTGGCAGCATTTCAAATATACCTCAAAATTTTATTTTAACTATTTGACTTCACTTTTCTTTGAATTTTAGGGGAACATTTTCCCCCTGAGCTCATAGTTTGTTTATGTAGTAGATTATCTCAAGCATAGAAAATTATGAACATGAAAAGCAGAAGAGTAAAGTGCAAAATGAAGCTTTTTATTCTTTAAAGGTTGTGTCTTTCTTTACATATTCTCTTGACTATTTTTGTATTTTTTGGCCATTGTATCCAATGACAGCTCAGAACGCAGTGTTGCATCTGTAAAATCAGTGTCACAGCTTCACTCATCTTACGGTACCCAAATATGAGTAAATCAGCCAATTTATTATTCAGTTACACTGAAACAAAGAAGAAAATGATGATTAATCTAGATGCATTGTAAATTGTTGAACTTAACAATTATTTAGACAAAGATTTTGCTTAGACTCTGGTTCTCCTGAAGGGATTTTTCACTTTTTAAAGTTGTATTGTATTTACATAATCATTTTTGCATGTGTGTAATTTCCTTAAAGTAAATTTTCAGAATAATCGTGAAATTACGAACTGAATGCTCTTTGTAATTATCTTGGAGTAATTATTTGGACACGTTTTGTGAACTTTCTATGCAAATATTGTCCAGTTAGAAATTCTTGTAGATACATCCAATTGTTTCCTACCAAAATGCTTTCACACGTGTCCTGGTTTTATTTTTTTTGACTTCTATTACATGGAAATACTCCAGAGCATTTGTGCATTTTTTTGCTAAATTTATAAAAGAGCTTCTGTGTTTAGTGTCATCTTTTCTAAATTAAGTGTTGGGTTTTTTCTTCCTCTGGTAGCATGAAAAGAGACTTCTTGTTTTCTATATAAGATAATACTAATCATACTTTCAGGATTTATGAGTGATAAAATTTTATAAAACATTTTAGAATTATTAAAATTTAGAATTTTAGAAATTTAGAATTTAAGTTAATTAGAAAAATTTTTATTTAAGTTAATCATAAATGGTAATTTCTACAAATAAACTTTGCAAGAAATTTCTTCTACATCAATAGCATATGCAGGAATTCTTACATTCATATATATAAGTAATAAAAAAAAAGGTAAAAACAGAGATGCTCTAATGACTTCATATTTATAATCTAATAAGAATTCAAATTGTTTCTGTTCTTTTAAACAATGTCCCTTTCCATGCTTACAAGCCATCTGTAAATCATGTCTTACTTTTATCTACCTTAAAAATAAAACTCATATATATACACCATATTTAAGACTTTTGCCAAACTTGGTGTAAAACCATTTTCACTGCTGTCCACCTTGGGCATAAATTCTAATGAAACAATAAAAGAATTCTGTCCAGATGTTTAGGAAAAGTCTATTCCCAAAACCATCAGGAGAATCATGATTTCTCTCCCCTTTCCTTCTTTAGGAGCATAATCTGTAGATAATCTGTTCCTAACTGCTTTTAATGCAGGTAGTTTAGGTTAATTTACGGGAACTGTAATTATTAGGCACAATATTCAAAAATATGTAAAGAATGTTTCTCTAAAATATTTTCAAACCAGAAAATTTTCTCTTCTACTTCTTCTGAAAATGCAGAAGAGGAAAGGTAAACCAGAAGGGATGAACATATGATAAAGCATGATATACTGCATGCCCTTTCCAGAGTTTGCAAATACAATTTAAAACAGTAGAGGCTTACCTAATAATTAAACTAAACTATGTGTCAGCGTAAGACTGAAGTCTTC